TTTTGGAATTGTTAGAATTAGGTCAATCTGCGACTAATTAAATAAGGCAGAAAAGGCACAGCAGGTGAACATTCATTAGTCTGAACTGTTTCTTCTTGCTTGTTTACTGGGCAGCTATTTATTTTACTTGGATACACAATGTGAACAATCCCGACACGCTGAGACTCAGTTCCTTCCTGGAACAAACACTACAATGGGTTTCATTATACAATATGCATTTCCACTTGAAGCCTCTCTCTCAATCCCAGCATGCAGAAAGCAGGGAGCAAATTGGTGACCAGCCTCCCCACAGCTTTGCATGTCAACTGACATATAGATACAAGTGAGCTGGGCTTCCATTAGCAATTCCAAAATGTCAAGATGCCTTTGCCAGCATCGTGCTGACAGCTAATGAATCTCACTGTACATATGCCAGCTTCAAGCACTGTTTTGTGACCAACCTAAAATGAAATATTTAACCTTAGAAATGTGAGTAAGGAGCTCATTGTTTCATCCTGAACTCAACACATTTCAAACAAGAATTCATATTTTATAAAAATCTTTTTCACAGCTTGTAAAATAAAACCATATTTTCTGTGGTATATTAGGGAATTGGTTATTTAGCTCCTGCAAATAATTTTTTTGAAACAACTGTTACAATCTACGTCACCTTAAGCTAATATTTCAAAAAACAAGCTGTGAAAACTCATACTTTACTATAATGTGTACAAAATACCTGATGCTGTTTTAACGCAACAAAAATCCTTGGCACTTAAAAGGGAAGAAATTTCTGGAAAGAATGCTCCCCCTAGGTGTAGAACAACAACAACAACTTGCAATTATATAGCGTCCTTCACATGGGTAGCATCTTGGAGCACTTAACAGAGAATAGCTTTGTCGCTGAACTGGGAAGAGAGGGGAGGTTACCGAAGGCACAGTCGAAGAAGAATTTCTTCAGCTGTAAATTGAATACAGACAAAGAGGGGCAATTGGAGGAATTGAGGCAAGGAGTTAGTTTGGGGCTGTGGTAGTTGAAAGTGCAGCCACTAATGGTGGAGTAGATGGGACAAGGGACACGCAAAAGACCTGAACTAACTGAGCGAAGTCAACGGGTAATGGAGTGGGCTGTGAGCAAATTTCAGAGTAATGGAGATGCCAAGACATGAACTGATTTAAAAATGAGAATGAGGGGAGCTTGAATTCAAGCCGTTCTGAAAAAGGGAGCCAGTGTAGCCTGGCAAAAACTGGAGTGATGGGGCTAAGGAGCTAGTATGGGTAAGCACATGTGTGAGATAGTTTTGCGTAAGGAAAAAAAATTGTTGTAAAATAACAATAACAATAATCTTTGCGTTTGGTATAGCGCGTTTCATGTCAAGAGGATGTTCCAAAAACTTCACAGGAAATGTTGTTCAGATCTGGAATGCATTGCCTGAAAGGATGGTGGACGTTGCCTTCGCTCCACCAGGTCCGGCCTCCTCCTTGTCCGCCGAATCCTCCACTCCACCATCAGCGGTCGTGCCGTCAGCCTCTATGCCCCGAGGCTCTGGAACTCCCTTCCTCACTCCCTTCACCTCGCCCCCTCTCTTCCTATTTTCAGGTCTCGGTTAAAGACCTTTCTTTTCGACTGTGCCTTTGGTCACCTTCTTCCCCCTCCCCCTGGCTCAGCCCCGGGATCCGTTATTGTGAAGTGCTCTGAGACGCCATTCCGGTGTGAAGGGTGCTATATAATAATATAATAATCCTTGCATTTGATAGAGTGCTTTTCACGTCTTCTCGACAAATCCAAGTTGTTGTTGTTGTAGGAAGCCGATTCGCTAACAACTTTCAAGAGAGAAGTGGATAGATATTTGGGGAGGACAAGTTTGCAGGGCTATGGGGAGAGCACAGGGGAGTGGGATTAATTTAGACAGCTCTTTCAAAGAGCCAGCACACACACAATTGGCCAAATGGCCTCCTTCTGTGCTGTATAATTCTATGATTCTATATACTGTAAATTGAAATGTGTGTTTTGTTGAGAAATGTGGTAAATACAGTAGCAGTGTGGCCAAAAGCGGCAGATTTTCACATAGCAGTGTCCTACAAACAACCTTGGAGTGAATGACCAATTTTATTTGGGGGATTGCTGCGAAGGAGACCAGAAGAAGCTCCTTTCTCTTTTCGAATAGTGCCATGGGATCTGAACAAGCAGACATAACCTTGGTTTAAAGACTCATCTTAAAGATGGCATCTCTGATAATGCAGCACCAACTCTCTCCTCACCCCACTACCCAACTCTTCCCTTCATAAGCTGCAGACTTTGCAGAACTCTGCAGCTCATGTCCTTTCCCACACTAGGCTCTGCAAGCCTATCACTCACAGCCTTGCCTGGCTCCATTAGCTCCCCATCCCCAACGGATCCAGTTCAAAATCCTTGTAATCACCTTTAAATCCCTCCATGATCTTGCCCTAACCTACCTCTGCTACTTTCTTAAATTTTATAAATCCATCCACTTTGTTGGGCAGATACCATCCTACTTCTTCTCCCCGACCCTAACATCAATGGTCAGACTCATCTTGGAGTCCCTATGGCTCATCTCTTCGGTCACCTCCTTCAAGGTACATCTCAAGACTGTCCTCTTTGATCACCTCTTCAGTCATGATTCCTCCCACCCATCTATCTCAGCTGCCACCCCCAGTTCGGATGCAAACCGTGGATTGTCCAGCACTTTGGGACATCCTTCCGACATGAAAGGTGCTAAATCATATAACTTTTTGCTGTTCAGCACATCTCCAGAATTGCTTTGGAGTGTCATCTTAGACTATATGAGTTCCAAGTCCCAACTTGGGGCTTGAACCCGCAACATTCTGACTCAGAGGTGAGAGTGCTACCAACTGAGTCTGGTCAACACCCTAAAAATGCATAGTTTGCTTGCAAAAATTAGATTTGCCTTCTCCATTACAGCCACACTGGTAATGCCACTGAGGGAGGACAGTATTTCAGCATGGCACCACTGAGTTCAACAGGGACAATAGATTTTCACAAGACAAGAAAATGATCAGGGACAGCTCGTGTCTGGAAAATTCATGCAAATTCAACAGAACTGTAGTTTTCTGGGGTCAGTGGCTTCAAATTGGCTTCAAAGCATTTCCTCCTAATAAAATCAATGGAATACAAACTTCTAATCAGACACAACTAAACACTAGAACATCAATAGAAGCAAAGGTCAGCCTGTATTTGTGTTAAGGCTAAGCACATGAGACATGTTGGGCCTGTGGATGCACTGAAGCCAGTCAGCTGTTCAGCCAGCCACAGCAAGAAGTGTAAAAAATTAAATTTGCTGCGTTGTTGAAAAAGGGCAATAATCTGTCCAAATGACCTGAGGAGAAAAGTAGCTCATGTCAGAGACTGAAAGGAAAGATGATTTCAAAAATGGAAGAAAATTGAAGGTGATATACAGCAACTTGATTTCCACCCAGATATTGAGGAATGGATAGCTGTGAGGATCTAACCATCAGTGCTCCCATTCACACAGGATTCCATTAATTTCATTTTTAAAATTCCTTACATTGGTGTAGAGCCTTTCACATTGAGTGGACATCCCAAAGCACTTCACAGGATATATGTAGAGTGGAGTCACTGTGTGCTTTGTGGACGAACGCGGCCAATTTGCACACAGCAGTGCTCCTGCAAACAGCCATGGAGTGAATGATCAATTTTATTGAGGGATTGTTGGCAGCACACAAGGAGATATTCTCTTCTCCTTTCAAATAATATCCACCCAAACAGGCACAAACAGGACCTAGGTTTAACTCTTCAGCTGAAGGACGGCACCTCCAACACTGCATTGCAATGTCAGCCTAGACCATGTCAGTTCAAAGTCCTGATTTGTGATCAGCCTGCAAACACTGAGTTTACACCTTTCCAGGTACCCAAGGGAATGGTGTAAAGAGACAACAAGATCCAATGTAAGATTACTGCAAGATGTCCAAGAACTTTGGTAATTCTCGGTAGTTGTCCACCTACAATATATAAATGCTACTTATTTCTCGTGTTCAGGCAGCAGGGAGATGGGTGCAAGAGAGGAAAGAAAAGAAATCAGCAAATAATGTGGTGCCAAGAGAATGGAGTGAGAGGAGAAACAAAGAAAGTCTTCCACAAATTCCACAAATTTCCAGTGGCACAAAGGAATCTTTCACAGAGTACTCTTACGAATATAAACTGGGAATATTTTCACATAAAATGTGCATCACACACTGCCAGAACCAATTCTTTTATATTTAAACTCATGTATATTTCAAAAATATTTCACCTTGTATCATACACTAGCATGTGCCTAACTATGCGATCATGCTTAACCCTTTAGATGATGGCAATTCATACACTTTGATTTTATTTTTCTCATTTTAGCTGAAAACAAAGCAGAGCAATGAGGTCATAAAAGAGGTGGGTCATGACAGGATTCACTAATGAGTTGCTAACAGGGAATCCAGCTGTTAACCTCCAATCTAGGGGTCTTTTCCTCTCCTCAGTTACTTCAGGCTTGCATCTGCTCACCCTCTCAGAGTCCAAGCCTTCACTTCTTACTGCCCTAATCTCTGAAACTCCCTCACTCCAGCACTCTGTCTCACCTCCTCACTTTCTGTCATTGGGTTCCACCTCAAAGCATGCCACTTTGAATGCATCTAGGCTACCTACCCCTACCTTCCTTGGTGCCCAACCCCATCTCTGTAAAGCTATATAAATACAAGTTGTAGGAAATCCTACAATTAAGGACCACTCCCCCCCGCACCAATCTAGATACCCCTATTATGGGGAACCCCATTCTATAAAATCTCCCAATCTATGTCCAGTGTTTCTGAGTTTTCCCCCGAGTCAGGTGAGGTATACTGCTAGTGATTGGCAGGTTTCCACAGTAGTCACTGCAAGTCATTACTAGTGAATCCCATTGTAAACAGTCAATTTTTTGACCTAACTCTCTATGCGTTACTGCAACACCATGTACCACAAATCAAAGATGAGATGCATATATATAATCATTTACCAGGATTGTTGTAACAACCAACGATCGGTTTGATAATGAATCAGTGATGTTTGCTGTTTTTCCCTTCCGATTCTCAGTCATGTTCAAGCCAGTGCTCGTTTCCCAGGTCCCAACCTATAACAGAACATAATAGGTGTAAATTGAAAAAATGGCTTGTTTGTGAGGCCTGTAAAGCTTCATTATTGCAAAACTTGGGCATCTTTATGACAATTCTGAAAATTCTGATAACGTTTCTAATCGGGTGCATGGAGTGGATTATCACATCCTCTTTTACAGGCTCAGACACATAAAACAACAACAGGTTAGGCAGCAATCTGTTGTCTTAGATTTTCTGTAAAGGTCACTTTGTTTCCTGCAATGTGCAATGAAATAACATTGAAACAGCACACAGTTAGATTATCATCGTCCTTACATTTGATCTAGCACCTTTCACTTTGTGAGGATGTCACGAAGCACTTCACTGGACTATATAGGATACCATAAGGCGCAGTGACTGTGTAACTTGTAGGCAAAGCATCTCCATGGGGAGAATGCTGAAAGTTTGTGAGCTTTTCTTCCCACACAGCAATAACAATTTGCTACTTTCACATGGGGAGAATGTCTCAAAGTGCTTTACAATGACAGAGTGGGAGATTGAGCTGAGAGAGAGATGAAGCGGGTGCATGGGAAGTTGGCTGAAGGTGTCATCAAAGAGAGAGTTTTCAAAGTCAAGAGGGAGGGGTTGAGGCAGAGAGATTTCAGAAGAGAGTTCCAGAGGGTGGGGCAAAGGATCTGAAAGCTTATTACTGTTTGGGGAAAGGGAAAATAATTTGCATCTTTGGTATATATGATATATCCAAACAAGTCCAATTCACAAATGTCTTGTTTTAGAAGTAATTTTTTAAAAAAAACCTTGTGCATTCATAAGAGCTTTTTTGATTTTATTTTCTTGGTGTTTAACCCGGGTCAGCAGGCAGGATAAGACTCACTGAGTAGTTTAATAGAATCCCCATCCTATTTGGCACATCTCTCCCTAGCCTCTTCGCACTGGCACTGTTGAGTGAGGAAAGATTATTCCATGGAGCAAAAACTGTTTTAGTTTTCAAAGTGCAGAGGGTGCCATAGGTACTTGGTAACTCTGTGGCCAGCAGAAAATAGCTAGGCATCTCAGGAGTGACAACCAATAAACGTCAATAAAGGATGACTTTACAACACTGTTAAATTGGTAGCAATGAAAATCCGAGTACAAAATTACCAGCTCAGCAACAGGTATCATTATACAATAATAATAATAATAATCCTTGCATTTTGTATAGCGCTTTTCACTTCTTCTGTTGATATATATTGTTGGGATAGTTATTATTATATGGCTATTATTATTATTATTTATTATTATAACAATTGTCTATTTCTCAATGCTTTGTTAAGACCACTAATTCAGGATAGACCTTACCATGTCCTTACCCTATTAGCTCCGGGATGTTGTGTGGTGTGGTGTTGAGTAACTGAGCAATAAATAGCATTCAACACTATGATGAAAGCTTTTCAATAAACATTATGAGATAGAGAAGGGCTTCACAAATGCTAAACTAAGCATCTAAGAAGCTACACATTAGATCTCCAATCTAGTCTTGATACACTGAAGCGTTCTTCTGAGATTATTTATGAAGACATAAATTATTCATGAAAGTAAAAATATGCACACAAATACTATTGAGTAATTTTGCCAGACACAGAATAAATGATTTATCTTTTCCACTGATTTTTTTCCATATTTTTTTCTCATAAACGTATGAATCTTAAGGAATTCATGAAGAGAGTCCACGTACCCTTTCAAGGCCTTCCTCCTTGAGGCTAATCACATCCAAATCAAAATCTGTTCTCAAGCCATTGGAACTATTGAATATAATTCTGCCAGTTAGTCCTTCCCAATGGGCCTAGAAATGGAGACAAAGAGGAGTCATAAAGAAAACGTGTTCAACAGAACGAAAATCAGATTAATTTGCCCAGCAACTCTTGATCAACCTTCCTGCCAGTAATCTTCCTTGCATTGTGCACAGGGCTATTCAATATATAGTCTTTAAAATATACATTTGTGCTCACAGAGAACAGGGACATTGCCTATGTGTACTTTCAAACTGGAACAAGCACAGCCTGTCCTTCGCTGAACCTGCATGATCCCTTTAACAATTGCAGAGAGCAATATTCGGAGCAGGGCAAATAGTGCAGCATCAAAAATCTCTTAATGCTAATTCTCAAATCACCCTTCATTTGTTTCACTCGGCCTCAGACTGTTTTTATTCTGAATGGTAAGAAGATATCTGACACTCAGTTGGCTGATTCAACAGCCATATAGATTATAAAGCTGCCAAAAGTACAGAAGTAAGATATAGACACACATACAAAATTGATTTTTAAAGAAAGCCACTTGCAAGTTGATCTCTGTTGTACCTCTTTGATGAACTTCATGAAGCGGTTTCCAAATCGCCATGGTTTATGCCTATTGCATTGCAAGGAGCTGACAGTCATCTGTGGGGACTGCTGGACTGCCACAGACACAACGTGGACTGCATCGTACATTAAGGCAGCATTCGTCTGAAATTAAGACCATATATATAATTGAACCACACTGTGAGATGTGAAAATGTACACTGGTGTACTTAATACTCTAAAATTAACAGCATCTTTTCTACAGAATACAATCAAATATCTAAATGTGATTTTGTTGCATAATTACAATATCACAAGAAATTACAAGACGCTTGGGTGAAGAAGACCTTTTAGCCAATTTAATTTCATCCTTTCAAAACACCCACCTTATTGTTTCCATTTATTGCATTTTGCCAGTATCCTGGCAGCTATCACACTTCTCAGTAATGTAATTCAGATGTTAATTGCCTCTGTGTAAAGAAACACATCCCGCTGTCTGCCCTAAAATTGTTCTTCACTTTTTTAACCTCGAACCTGTGATCTCTTGTCCTTCAAACTGGGTATATCAGAAACTCTATCTTCATCACGTTGAGCAAGTAACATTCAGGGTCAGCCTCATTGCTCTTCACTACATTGTCTCTGGAGCTTCAATAGCTGTGTACCTTATGTTGCTATGACTAGATCTATGCACAGTACTCAGTAGCTGAGGTATGTCTAATCAGAGCATTTTTACATCTTAAGTGTAGTTTCTCGGGATCTGAACTCAATCGTTTTAAAATTTGTAGCTCAGGATCCTGTATACTTTTCTGATGCCTCATACTGATTTGATATCTAATATATTATCGAAAAGTACTCATAAATTTGTCAGAGTGTTCATATTTACAAAGCACGTTGTTTATTAAAAATCTGGAAGATCTGCAGGTGGAAATGAAAATTATAAGTGACTAAATTATCTCCTTTAGGCATTGTAATATTAATATCCTAATTGATACCCTTGATGATACTGCAAAATCTGTCTCCAAACCTCAAACACAAGCTGCAAGAGGAGACTATCTCTGTGTACACACATATAATGCAGAGTGAGATCATAAATAAATGATGCTGACTCAATCCTGAATAGTGCATTGAAAGAGCATATCCCTAAGAGCACTTATATTCAGCCCCATCAATGATTACGGGCAAGTTTCTTATTTATTGCACTGTGAAATAAACGTGTCATTATCTTTATTTCTAGGTTTAAAAGGCTCAGTTTATGGTCTTCCTTTTATATTCATTCTCAGTTTTACTTATTTAGTGAGATTAATGTCATGTAATATGCACTGATCCAAATAATTCCCAGAAATTAACCATTTACCCTTGAATCTAAACATCCCACGTACCCAATGCAGAGAGGGCATTGGTATGAACTATCATCATTGTGAAACACTGGAATATCTTTCAAATCATAGGTTGGTCAGGGACAATGATTGTCAGTCTGACGCAGTGGGAGCACTTCTCTGAGTCAGAAGGTTTTTGCCCCATGTGGGACTTGAATTCACATATTCTAAGATGACACTTCAATGCAATGCTGGGGGTGTGTTTCATTGTTGGAGATGCCATCGTTTGGACGAGGCATCAAACCAAGGTCCTGTCTGTCTACTCAGGTGGAGCTAAAGATCTCATGGCACTATTCGAAAAGAGGCATGTGAAAGGCACTACAACAACAACAAACAATAACAAATTACATTTGTATAGCAGCTTTCACATCGGGAGAACATCTATACCAAATGTAAGGATTATTACTATTATCTTCGGACACATCCCTTTCACGGCATCATCCTGTCATGGCAGGTGAATTAAATCTTGATAAACCTACCTTTTTTGCCAAGATTTTTTTTGCTGCAATCAGGAATTCTATAAAATTTGAATTCTAACTGCTGATTCATCATTGTTCATAGAGAACCCATTTAATCATCTGTTCAGCATTTCAATTTTAACCAAAATAGAAAATGCTGCACAAAAAATCTGCATTTTACACAAAGAATGATTATGCCTATAAAATATCATGTACTATTGTCTCCAGGTGAAGGTTGGCTATATTTTTCATGTGCTTGGCATTCACAACCAAATAATTGTATAACACGTTATGCTTTAATCAGCAATTTGTATTTAAATGTTAGGTTTGCATTTACTACTAAACACAATGGCACTGAATTGCAAGATTCACAAAAGATTTAATAAACAATGTAATGTGCCAATATGTGCAATTGGAAAGTTAAGACACAGAATGTTGGAACTCTGTGCTTAAATTGTTCGCCTACAAAATACAGCCATTACACTTTACATTAAAATCCCGTGAAGAGCTTTGAGATTATCTCCCGCCATAAAAGGTGGTATATCAAATACAGGGATTATTGTTGTTCTTGTTATTATTATATAATTATATTATTATGTACTATTATATTATATTATTATATTGGAGAGGATGCAGAGGAGATTTACCAGACTGATACCAATGGATGAGGGACTTTAGTTATGTGGAGAGACTAGAGAAGCTGGGATTGTTCTCCTCAGAGCAGAGAAGGTTAAGGAGAGATTTAATAGAGGTGTTCAATTATGAGGGGTTTTGATTGAGTAGACAGAAAGAAACTATTTCCACTGACAGGTGGGTCGGTAACCAGGGGATAGAGATTCAAGATAATTGGCAAAAGAACCAGAGGGGAGATGAGAAGAATTGTTTTTACACAGGGTTGTTACAGTCTGGAATGCATTGCCTGAAAGGGTAGTGGAAACAGATTCAATAACAACTTTCAAAAGGGAATTGGATAGGTAGTTGCAAAAGGAAAAACTTGCAAGCATATGAGGAAAGAGAGGGAGAGTGGGATTGATTGGGTAGCTCTTCCAAAGAGCCGATAGAGGCACAATGGGACGAATGGCCTCCTTCTGTGCTGGAATATTCTATGTTTCTACGATATGAGGTATGCGTTTCCGGAGCAGGCTGTATTCCTGTTTCTCCAATGCCCACATCCATTTCATCACCATTCCCTGATCAAAATATTGCTTAAAGAATCAAAAGTATTTTTTTCTCTACCAATATCTCAGTTAAAAAACATAACCATTAAAATCAAGTTTTGCTAAGAAAAACCTTTTAGTTGTTTCACTGCAAGTTTTTAACTACGCTCACTTCCCCAAAATGATTATCCTCATTGAATGATATCAATAGCAAATGGCTTGGGATCCAGCCTCACCCCCCAGCATCAGTTAATTAAATCTATTCTGCCTGAACTCATCAGTGTTAACACACACATATCACACATCAGATTTTCTCCTTGTGAGACATAATAAAACTTGCAGTCTGAGATTAAATGTTACTGTTTTATGAACTGTTAAATTGCATTGTGTTCTCATTAAAACTGGTGTCATCCTATTTCTCTGCATGTTTTCAAATCTAGCCTTGGGCAGAGCAACACGAATAATAGATACTTTTATTCTCCCTCTTCCACCGGTAAGGTTCACAAAGTGTCAATGGTTAAAAAGCTACAACTGTTATAATGCGGCAAAATCAACTTCAGGAAATGCTTTCAAGCAGAGTGAAAGTCTTTCCATTTTTACTGCGCCAATTTGCAATATGGTAATTAAAGTTGATTTCAACAAGCCTACTTAGGTTGTACACAATGAATGGCTGCAGTATATTGAGTAATAATGCTTGGTTTTTTGCGATGCAATAGTACAGTACATGGCACTGGTCATTTGTTTGCACCATCAATCACCACCACAACCTTGAGGGAATTACTTTGCATAAACAAATCAATATCCATTGTCTATCTCAATGACTCATTTAATTATTCTTTGACTAAATGCCTATTTGGCTCATGCAATCTGTTTTACCAGATACCAGGTTTGATCACCACCACTGCATGTTAAAAGTAAAGTGATCCTTGCACTTGATATAGCTCCTTTCATACCAGGAGAATATCTCAAAACATTTCACAGGAATTACTGTAAAGTGTAGCGAGACTGAATTTTATAGGTAAACTGCATATGCAGCATATCCCTTGTGAAGAAGTTTTCTTTCAACATACAATATTTTTACTTGTTGCAGGTAAATGGTTTCGTTAGAGAATGCAAACGCCCAGGTTTAGCTTTGACAAATTCCTCTTTTGTGTAAGTGTGATTGTGCAAACAATAGATTTGCTCGCAGCCAATTGATCTAAAATATTGAGTACCTGGTTGACACCAGTGGTGTAAGCAGTGACATCAGTCACTGAACAGGTAGACTTTAAATTTTGTGATCAGTTAGCTGAGAGGAAAGCAATTGTTTGCACAGTTGTACTTACACAAAAGAGATGAAGTGTTTTTACAAGATACGGGTTGGTATAATCATGTGCATCGATGTAATCGCCGGTGACACATGATATAATGCCCAACAAAGCTATTCATTTCAAGTCAACCCTACCATCCACAAAAGAGAAACTGAGTTATTTGTGCTCAATATTCAGCAAATACAGTGCTTCACTTGTTACAATGACATTGAAGGTTCATGTTTTACTATTTGGGGGCATTAATGGGGTAGACCCTGGGTAAAGAAAGGTGAAAAGTCACTTCAGCGTACTGAGTTTACCTGACACGATCAGCCTAAAGGCCTTCTTTTGCACTGCAAATTTCTAAAAATAATTTTATGCTCTGAACTGGAGAGGAACAAGCGCTCCAGGGACGCTAGCCTATGTGAAGGGCGCTATACAAATGTAAGTTGTTGTTGTTGTTGAAGAACATTGTTTATAAGAAAACATAATGGTCTTAAAGAAAATAAAACAACTTGGTCTTAATGTGTATTACAGAAACGAATTTAAAAATCAATACATGACCAACAGTAGGATTGACAATGCCTCAGTGGGAGTCTGGTCAGAATAAATTGATGGATTAGCTGACTGTAAATACTAGGCAGCCTTTATTGGCAATATGGAGTTAGCGGTGTTTTCAAATTAGTTTGAATCACACTTTATTCAGAGCTTATAAATTGGTAGACAAAATGTACTTTTTTTCTTTTCGGAGTATTTATATTGATAAAGAGTAATTGATTAAGCTATTTTATCTGGTACTGAACAGGAGTAACAGAGGACATGGCCTGCGATTGAAGTGGGGGGGGCAAATTAGGAACTAATCTGTGTAAACATTACTTCAGTGAG